GGCGGCACCTCCAGGCACTGGTGGCACCTCCGGGGGCTGGTGGCATCTCCAGGGCTGGTGGCACCTCCGGCAGCATCGGCGGCGTCCCGGCGGGTGCTCAGACGTTGCTGATGCGGACGCTCAGGGGTGCTCCCTCCCGCTCCCGTTCCGCCGCCTCCCGCAGGGACTCCTCCAGCTTCACCTTCTCGGGGTCCCCAAACCGGACGGTCTCGTGGAGGCAACAGGGCGCTGTCACCTTCACCACCTGGTCGAAGAGGCTGAAGTCGGCCACGTACTTGCCGCTGGCTGAGAGGGAGATGGCCGGGGTGAACTCGTAGCCCCAGAGGATCTCCTCGGGCAGGTAGGAGGTGCGCACTTGGCACGTGGCGCTGGTGGACTCCACGGTGCCGCTGAGGATGACCACCAGCTCGAAGTCGCCTTCGCCCGTCCGTAGGGCCATGTCCCGGAAGGGGCTGGCGTCGTCCACCACGTGGTAGAAGGTGAGGGGCAGGATGAGGAAGGGGCTGTCGGAGGAGGTGTCCACCTGGAAGTCCACGTTGACCTGGTTGAGGCGGACGCTCTCGCCCTCCTTGGTGAGGTGGGTCTGGAGGAGCTTGCCTGTCACCTGGCAGCCGATGAGGAGGCTCTTGCGCATGTTGGCCACGCGGATCATCAGGCAGGTCTTGCCGTTGTGTTGGGCCACCACCGCGTTTTGGCTGAACTTGATGGTCTCGGCGCGTTTCTTGGGCCGGGCGATCTTGGCCAGGAAGGTGCCGGTGATGAAGATCTCCATGATGGTGGTGAGGACCAGCTGGGTGATGAGCAGGACGATGGCAAGGGGACACTCCTCGCTGATGTAGCGGAACCCGTAGCCGATGGTGGTCTGAGACTCCAGGGAGAAGAGGAAGGCGCCGGTGAGGGTGTGCACCTGCATGACGCACGGCGTGTGGTTGGCTGGCGGGTCGAACTCCAGCAGGTCCCCATGGACCACGGCCACCAGGTACCAGATGACGCCGAAGGCGAACCAGGTGCCGGCGAAGGTGGCAGAGAAGAGGACCAGCTTGTACCGCCATTGCATGTCGATGAAGGTGGTCCACAGGTCCTTGAGGTACAGGAAGCGCTTGTCGGCGATGTGCTCCATCCGCACGTTGCTGCGGCCGTCCTTGGTCATCACCCGGCGCCGGCGCTGCCCCGAGC